GTGGCTGAAAGAAGGCTTGGACCCACGAGCAAAGTCTTTCTCCTTCTGCTCTGGGATCAAGCGTTGTATGCTCTGAAGAAGCAAATTTGAAACATTTTTTCTCCCCTCTTGATACTGTTGTTTCTCATTACCATTGTTTGCCTTGTTTTCTCTTGCAAACCATCCTCTGCCAGAGTAGCAATCTTGAAAACTTGGAAGTATTGTGGAGGAAGGAGGAGAATTATTTTCTTAAAATTTCCTTTTTCAAAATGTGAAAATAATAATAATAATTTAAAAAAATCAGATGTTTTCACTGCCAGGGAAAGGTATGGACAGAAACAGAGGAGAAATGTCTGGAGAAAAGCTGTCTCCTAGCTTTGTTGAATACTGGAGAAGGAGGAGACAGATGAAAAGCACTAATGAAAAGAAAGTTTGAGGAGTGGACTCGAAGGCTGACTTATTGCTTATCTGATTCCTCTGCAAACCGGGCCAGCTGTCTCGCAGGATGGTTTCAGGTGGCGTCTGCTGAGCCTCCTGACTCATCTGCGTGTGGGTTTTGGATGTGCTGGAGCTGAACTGAACTTGCCAGGCACTTACAGTTCCCTTTTACACACGGAGGAGAGCTGGGCTGGTTGGACCGAGCGTTACAGAGCCTCTTTCTAGGAAAGGAGCTTTGCGTAACAGAAGGGAAAATAGGTCGTTGTCAAGGTTTAGGGCATTTGCAGAAGAAAGTAAACAAGTGGTTCGGCGTGGCCAAGATGGGGGAGCAGCTCTGCACCGAGCAGGATCTGCCCCTGCTCAAAGGCAAGGCTGTGCTTGCAGGAGGGCTTGGCTGGGAGGAAAGTCAGCCTCGTGTTTACGACAGCGGGACTCGGATTCTCCACGTGATCCCTGACAAACCATTTAATCCCAGCGCTCTGGGAGGGAGGAATCGCCTCCCCATGACACCCAAGGCTTTGGGTGCCAAGCTCTGTGGGGCACAGCTTGCACCTGGGCATGAGGCACCCCGAGCAAACGTGGCCTTGGGATCGCTGTGGAGCTGCTTAGGAGTGGGAGGCTAATGGGAATGGGGAGCTGGTGCTGGAGCAGCCACACCAGACCCAGAGCAGAGTCCGTCCCAGGAGGACTCAGATGCGGAAAGAAACAAAAAAACAAGGCAAAAAAAAATAATAACGACCACCAACCGCCTGCAAAAGCACCGCAAAGTCCTTAAAAACGCCCTCAGGCATTCGCCGAGCAAAAATCCCAGGGGAGATGTTGGAACAAATCCAGCTGCCTCCCTGGGTGACACTGAACCACAGCACGTCACCTTCCCGGGGGCACAGGGCTGGGGCAGGCGGGGGCACCCACCCACCCACCCACGGGCTCTGCCCTCGCAGCACGGGCTGTGGTTTCGCCCTCCCTGCCCGGGAGGGTACGGGCTGTGCCGGAGCAGCGCTGTGGCACCCGGGGGGCTGCGCGGGGGCTCTCGCAGAACATCTGCCAGCTGCCCGGCCCCCGCCGCCAGCCCGCCAGTACATCTTGTTTGTGTTTTTCCGCGGAGCACACTCCCAGCGGGTTATGTCAGAGGTGAGGAATGCAGGGCCACCCTGTGTCATGAGATCAGACTTACATTTTTAGGCCGAGCGCTTACCGTATTTGCTGGGAAGCGGCGCGCAGGCGGCACGCGGGGCCCCGGAGGGGTGGGAGATACCCCTTCGCCTCCATCCCTCTTTTCCAGCCCTCGCTCCAGCGAGAGCCGGGTGGAGCGGATGGGGCCCGTCTGCTGGAACAAGCTCTCCCTCTGTTCCTCGCAAGCAGCAAGAAAGGAAACGCAGTGAATTAAGGCGAATGAAAAGGCAGCAGTGAAAGGCGGCCGGGCTCGATGCCAGCGCTCACGGAGGGAGAACTGGTGTGGAGCTGCTCCCTGCGGCCGGTGAAGGCATCGGCACCCGGGATTGCCCCGCGGGGGAGACTCGTCCGAGCATCAGCACTCTCCAGGCTCCCAGGGGCTGAAAGCGAGAGGGGAGACACGAGCCCGTCCAGGGAGAGCCGGGCTGGGAGCTCTCGATGTGAAAGCGGTTTGAAGGGTCTGACCCAAAACACCACCCAGAGCAGTGACCTTCCCCCAGTTTCGTCGCTGGGAGCCAACCCTTACGTCCAACCTTTCTAAAATTTCTGGACTGCTTTGCCCGAGTCCCTCTGCTCGAGGAAAGATGGTGCAAAGCAGCTCTGCTGGTGTCGTACAGGGTTGCTGCGCTGCCCTTTCCCTGGTTTTCCCACTTAAAACTTGGAGGCTCCTTTGCAGCTACGCATCCCATCTAGGGTAGGAGGAGGGGAGCCGCTTTGATCCCGGTGCCACTGCAGAGAAAACCCACTGCAGCAGGGTCAGACCCTGGCGCAGGGAAAGGCTCCCCCTTTCTGCTCTGGTGTGGATTTTGCTTCTTTTTTATTTTTTTTCTTTTTTCTTTTTTCTTTTTTATTTTCCTGAATTACCTACAATAGTAGGTATCTTGAGACTTGAGATTGAAAAGGCCAAAAGTCAAGAGAAAATGCTTCCACAGATCATGTGCAAACTGAACACCACTGTTTGTTGGCTTTTTTTGTTTGTTTGGTTTTGGTTTTTGGTTTTTTTTTTGTTCTGTTTTGCCTTACCGAGGGTTTTGACATGGTGGTGTTTTGTTCTGTGTCAGAAGGAAAACAAACCCTGAAATACCAAAGTCTTTCACACAATGGACTTTCCTTTCTCCAAACATCCCTGTGAGCTGGGCCTCTTGCAGCTCTCAACTCTTCCCAGAGCAGGAGAACAAATACTGGGAAATCTGGAGGGTTGAACTGCACAGAGCTGGCTGCACAAGCCCTGTATTATTCAATGTCTCCAGTGCTGGCTGCTCCTCCCCCAGAGGAGGCAGGTGAACCTCCAGCAAATGCTGCTGGTTCCTGTGCTACTGGTAGTTTTCTGCTGTGCACCTCAGTCTCCTTTTTGTGTCCCCGTGAGATGTGACAGGGGACAATTTCAGCTCCTCATCTCTTATTCTCCAACTTCTGCTCTTCTTGTTTGTTATGTCACCTCCGTGTGCAGTTCCAGACTTCTTTGGGCACTCTACCATAGTCCCAAAAATCTGTTTGGGAAATTCTTCCTTTCATGGCAAATGCTGATTTTGGGTCCTCTCTAGACTTGTGGTGCTATGGGGGCACCAGAGAGTGTCCTGTGGAGATGAGAGAGGTGACCAGCAGGGACAGAAGGGACTAGCAGAGAGCTCCTCAGACCCAGCACCCTCCCCTAGTCAAGGGGATGGAGGGTCCCACAAAAAGCAAAGGTGATGTGTTGACAGGAAGGGGCTGGTTGCTGCCTTATAAAAATAAGGAGGGAGAAGTGATGGTGTGGGATCCTTGGGAAAATGAGACTTTAATGGTTGAGGATGATATTCTCTTTCTTCCCTCTCTCTTCATCTGCCTTGCCTTTCATAAAACTGTGCTTTGATAAGATTTTCTGTTTTATCATTTAGTGTGGAGATTTAGTTTAATTTTCCCTAGATTTGGAAAGGAAGGAAAAGGGGGCTTCAGGCAGCATTTAGCAACAGCCCTGGACACCAAATCAGGGCTAGACAAGACCCAGAGAAGGGGTTGCCTCCACCTTGGCTGATCCAGAAGGCTTCTGCACTATGAATGACATGAAATAAGGATCTTGGCTTTCATTAGATCTGTCATCTCCCCGGAATGCTTTAAGGATCAGAATTCATCATTAGCAATAATTATATATATTTAGACTTGATATAAGTTCAGTTCAACTGCAGTGAACTCGCTTCTGTTACGCTCCTTCAGTCTGGGGGGAATACACTGACATTGCTTAGCAACCTTTAATCATTTTGGTGGAGCACAATAGTCTGAGAAGGCTGAAGTTTATGTGTGTTACCCTGCCCCAGGTAGTTACTTGATCTCCCAAATAATAAGTTTCTAACCTTGTAATTCATTTCTAATCACCATTATCTTCTGAACTGGAATTGAGCATCCTGAAATCATAGAATATCTCAAGTTGGAAGGGACCCATAGGGATCACAGAATGGTTTGGGTTGGAAGGGAACTTAAAGATCATCCAGTTCCAACCCCTCTGCTGTAAGCAGGGACACCTTCCACTAGACCAGGTTGCTCCAAGCCCCATCCAACATGTCCTTGAACACTTCCAGGGATGGGGCATCCACAGCTTCCCTGGGCAACCTGTGCCGGTGTTTCACCACCCTCCCAGTGAAAAATAATAATAAAGATCATCAAGTCCATCTCCCTGCTTTTCTCAGGACTGCTACAAATGTGTACTGCTTGACCTGAACATTGGGTTATCTCTCCCTCTGCAGCATGGCAGTGCCCCAGGATATCTCAGGCAGATCCCAGAATATAAGGCAGCAATATCTCCATCTGACCCAGGCAGGCAGCTGCTGGTTTGACTCGGAGCAGCACAGCAGTGGGATGTGCTGTGCCTGCCAAAGCAGATACTGTAGGTTCTTTATTTCCTAATTGTCACTTTTTCTATGACTGCCTCAAACAGAACCAAGGAGCACGGAAAGAACAGTGCTTCCCCTGTCAGGGATGGAGTGGAAAAGACGGAAAAAAAGGCAGAAGGAAGAATGCGGTGAAAGGCACCACAACATCCAGGGGCCTGACTCTGATTTGCTTGAAGCAGTGTAAACAAGCAGGCTACAAAACCTAAGAGCTCTGACTGCCACTGGCACCAGGAAAACAAGGAAAACTTGTTTTAGACCAATTATACTGGAGAATATATGTGAGATTTTCAAGACACTGAAAAACATCGTCATCAAACAGAGCAGTAATTTGAGTTTTAGGGCCAGATCTAAATGCCAGGGCTACAAGAACCAGAAATTTAACCTGATATAAAGTGGCTGTTTTGTTGTTTCTAAAGATTTTGCATTGTTTGAAAGATTTTCTACCGTAAGATCTCTCAGCTGCTCTGCTCAGCTCCCTGCTGGGGCACCCTGCAGCTCATCCAGGCTCATCTCCCCCAAGCTCTCCACCCATCTTTCTGCTCCCTGTACTCCAAATCTCTAGATAACTCTGTCATTCCATGCAAACTGGCTGGGGTTTGCCCCTTTCTGCTGGATATTCACCCGACCTTTCCTGACCTACTGCCATATTTCCTCACTCCTTGTATCCACCAGCCATGATAAAGTTCTCTTCTCATATTCAGGGCAGGACTGCTGCTCCCTTCCTATGAAACTCCCTGGAAGAGCATCCCACACACTTGGACTCCTGAGCAACTCAACTCACCCACACAAAAAAAAAGAGGTAGAGCTGGTAAGTCTGAGTGAGGGGCCCAGGTCAGCCCACGTGGAGAAATAGGACAGTGGAGAAATAGGACAGAACTTGCAGGGAGATCTTGTTCCTTGATGTTCTCTAAGTTCCCATTGGGAGCAGGCAGAGCTATCTGGCTTGCATGGGTTCAGCTGTCTGTCCCTCTTGGCCACCTCTCCACTGGTCTCTGGTGAGATTAGAAACAAGAGGCTGCTGCTCCACCTCTACCCGTGTCCTCCAGGGTAGACCTGGAGACTTGGGGGAATATATAGCCATGATCTGTCTGAAGGCCAAGGGCACTGGGAATCATGCTGGCATCAGTGGGATGCCCTGTCTCTACCACAGAGAGGTCTCTGGAGCCTGATGTTGGGCTAGATGTATTGTTCCAGAGGATAGCCAGGGATTCACCGCTTTATTCAGGGCCATCTGGTATCTCACAGTCCCACGACCAAGAGGATTGTCATGCCCCATGAGTCATCCTTCCTGGTTCCCACGGAGTAGGGAGAGAGCCACAGAAGCCCTTGGTGGTTTTGGTTCTCCTCAGCTATGGTTCATTGCTCCAGCCCATCTTGCCCTTATATCCTTCAGGGAAGAACAGAAGTGATTCCAGTACAGAAGCAACAATCAATATGATGGTTTGTGTTCATTTACACTAACCAAGCACCCCCTTCAGCTGCCCTACATTTCCCAGGAGGGTAGATACCTGGGAGATGAGAAGGCACACCTGGGAAATGATCAATGGTGCTACCACTTCAGAAAGGGGTGTAGGAAGTTTCAGGCTGCAATAATACAGTGATTTCATCCACTTCAGCAGGCCCTTTGCCAGGTGTATCCTGTCCAGCCTGGGCTGAACTGACTGGGGATGAGGAGAGGCAGTGGCAGCCAACTCCAAATGGCCAAGACCAGCCTCGTGTCAGTGCTCAGTAGCTGATTCATGTTTTGGTCTTCGGCCCCACCCAGTCTAGAGCGAGTTCAGCACAACCCTTTGAGCTTCACTTTCCTGCTCTTAACACTCTCCCTCCTTCAGGGATCTTCCCACATTCATGGCCCAACCTCTCCACCACCAGTTCTCTCTCTTCTCCTGGACTGGACACCATGCAGGACAGGAGCCAGGAGCTTGCTGGCTTTGATTCACCATCCTCTAGAAAAAAAGCTGGCCATGCTTCCTCTTGCACCATCTGCTGTTCCTGACAGCCAGCTCCAGCACAAAGGCTGCACCACCCTGTCTCGAGGGGAAAGGCCACTTCTAGGGGGTCACTGTTCCTACATGGCACTGCTGGAGGTGGCATCTGGGAAGTGGAGCTGTGGAAATGGTGCTGTGTTATGCCCTGGCAATGCAGTGACATCCTGCCTCATTGTTTTTAGCGAGGCTTTTGCTAAGGTAGTGACCCAGGAACATCAGCATATCCTCAAAGCAGTGCCTTCCACAAACCTCTCCACCACGCACGAGCGCTCACGTGTCCTGGTGTGCCTGGGAATGTGGCTGTGCTGGCTGGTGGGATGGACAGGCTGCCAGTCACCATGGATACTGCAGTGTGTGCTCTGGATTTGTCAAAAACACCATGGCCATGGGATCATGGGAACACATTTATATCCCACCAGCTTTGTCCCACCAGGCAATGCTCAAGTTTGGTGTGTGTTAACAATCAAAACCTGATGGCTTCCCACGGGTCCCAGGCTCCTGAATGATGTAAGCATTTGTTGTCTCTGTCCTTAAATAACTACAGAGAGGAGCCAAATGGGTTTTCTCTCCAACAGATGGGCTGCTGACAGGTGCTGCTGGAGGCTGAGAGATGGAAAATCAAGGATGCCCTGACATGGTCTGTCACTAGCTTGAAGAGAAAAAAGCAGGTGAGATTTGGTTTCCTTATTCTGGCACATTATTTAGATGCTCTAGAAGTATAATAACACAATATTATTGTGCTAGGAAAATCTTATTACCTTGTCTTAAAGGCAGGAGAGTGGGATGTGTCTTAAAGATGGAAGACTGGGGTATGTCCTTTGGGACAAGGACGATGTGCTTCCATAACACAGGTCCCAGAAGAAGCAGGATTGTGTCAGAATGGTAAAATAACAGAAAACAAAAGCTTTTCTTTCTCCCTAAATAAATAATTTCTGTGCTTCCTTTGTGGTTCTCTTTTAAAGACTTGCTGGATTCAAGGAGGATGTGGTCACACTCCTTGGAAACTCCAGATGCTACAATATAGAAACACAAATCTGCATTAAACTCACATTTTTTATGAGTTAAATGTCATATGTTTTTTACAGGCTGCTGTGGTTTTCATATCCCTTGGAGAGCATTTGCCCAGTACCTCTGATATCTCCTCCTTGATTTCTTTGACAGGATCCAGTCTTTTGTTATTTACCGATGTCACTGCAGCCTGGGAGAGAAATCAACACAGTCATGAATTATGGACCATGCTGGTAGGACATTTCATTCTGGTTGATTTAGTGGGAAAAAATCTCAGATAACTAAAGATGAGTTCAAGCTCTGACACTTTTCTTCTTGCTTCTGAGTTGCCCTGAGTGGTGAGGAGTGTCTGGGTTGAGTCCTTTCACATGGGTCATTGGAAAGGTGAGACCCTTCAGCAAACATGGGTCTGTGTGTAGGGCTCAGCTTTGAAGAAGTCTGATATTACAGCAGTGCAGCTCTATCTCCACTCAGGAAACTCACCAGATTTTGAAAAAAACAACCCTCAGAATCACTGGGATGAAAGAATCACATGTTGTTGTGTGGGTGTTTTTAAGCTTCAGCCATGGGATCCTCCAGCTCTTCCTTCACCTGCAGGTCTTTTCCATCCCACCTAACACCTTCTGCTGCTGAGCACCTGAGGGATAAGGAAAGCAGCATCCTGGCCTGTGGGGGTGTGTTTCTGAGATGGGAGAGGCATGAGGGCACAGACTGGCAGGACATAACACATGCAGAGGTTACCAGCAGTATCCTCACTCATTTTGTGTGAAGAAAAGGAACTCCAACATTACATAAAAGAAAAAAAAAAGGAGGGTGGGTGGGAGGAGGACAGAATCTTGCTTTCTCCTTGAACAACCAAACTCTTGAACTCTTGACTCCAGGGAAAAGCAAACTGAAGTCACTGAATTTTGAAGTCACTCTGGAAGATGATGTGCAGTGCTGTGGTCCCTCAGTGAGGGGAGGGTGTCCCTAAGCACACAGTCACCCCAGGGCACAGCTAGGGCAATTCCCTGGGCTTTTCCATGTGAAGGCTCATTTTATTATAAATAACCACCATTTTAATAATAAATTACTGCCTTCTGGAAGTCCCATGGTAATGCCATTGTCATCTGTGGGCACTGGAGACTGGGGAGGAGAAGAGGATGGGATGTGTTGGTTATTTGATGGACTCTTTCACAAGGGCTACATTTAGGCCTACCCATGTGCATGAAGCACCACAATTTGGGAAGTCTGGCTGATCTTTGTGAAGGCCCTATTCATACACCCAAACTTCAGCACCACACATGCTCCTTTAGCCAAGACATAGGTGAATGCAGTCTTGCCTCCCCAACAGATCTTACTGTTGGCCAGTATATGGACATTGGGTCTGGAGGATGCCTGAGCTTGGAATTTGGAGGTTTAGCTCATGATTTTTAACTCCTTGACATCACGGGGCAAACACTTGCTTTGCAGAGTTTCTTTGCTAAATCAAGTTGGATCCATCTAGGGAGCAGTGGGTTTGCATCACCTCAGGAGAGCCCCTGTGGGAAGCAAGACAGTGAAGGTGGGCACTCATCCAGCTGTTGTAAAGGAACTGATTTTTGGTTGACAGGATAAAGGGCTTTCTTCTTGATGGGTGGGGCAAGGAAGGCACCAGAAGCTAAAAACACAGAAGGAACAAAATGAAAATTTAAGGAAAAAATGCAGCATCTGGCAAAATATTTTCTCTTTATATCCTTCCATGGGGTAATGGTTATTCATCACCTGAATTGCCCTGGTGGTTGTGACTCCTCTCAGGATGTAAATCACAGAGTCACAGAATGGTTTGGGCTGGAAGGGACCATAAAGAACATCCAGTTCCAACTCCCTCATATATGAGAAGCACAGCTGTGCTGCACATGTGATGGCCTGGAAAGACAACTCAGTCCCTGGGGAAATGCCCAGTGACTTATAGGAAAGCCACTCGTGGCGGAGAGGAGCGCTTTGGATCCCAGCTTCATGTTTTACAGGCAGTCATAAAAAAATCAAACAATCATTTAGCACACCATCAGGAGATGGAGTAAGGTTTTTTTAAACCAGAATTGTAACATGTCATGACCGGTACTAATCTCTGCTTTCACGGTCAGGGGTCCCCTCTGATGCAGGGGGGGGACTCTCCTATCCTGTGTTCATGCAGTGTGACCTGGAAATCCCTGTGGTCTTGGAATTCCCCTGGCTCCAGGCCCATGCATGGGGGTGAAAGCACTGATTGCTGTTCAACATCCTGTCCCACCAGAGAGTGGATGGAAAAATATTGATTTCCTTTCAGAGGAGGCAGATTCACAGATGCACTTATTGTGGGCTTGTCCCTCCTCGGAGGCAAAGGGGATGCAAAGACAAACCCCCTCCTATCCCATTTTCAAGTCTCCAGTCATGGAACAGGAAGATAACACTGAAAAAAGGCTGCATAACATGCAAGATCTTGTCTTCTCCGCCAAACCACAGCGCAGACCCCTGTCTGCTGTGCTGGCCAGCAAATATTAAATGAGGTCCTGTCTCCACCAAGCTGGACCACCTTGATCCTGGCAGCCCCTAGGGGCCATCCCTTGCTTCTACAAAATGCTCCAGGGATGTTTCCAAGCCAAGGTGCCCTTTCAGAATGAGCTTCAAGGCTGGGAAGAAGCTACTCGGGATCACATGTAGAGGAAGAAGAAAACATAACTAAGGAGGCACGAGGTGTTCAGCCTGGTGACAGCAGTAATTGTCTCAGATTGGTCTGGCTCATGAATGTTCACTGGTGCTGTTGGAAGTGGGACATATGAGTGTCACCAGCACCAAGGTGCCAGCATGGTCTGCATATGGGAGATGAGGCTGCTCTGTTGAGAGAGGTTATTAATCTTTCCCATGACCTCGCCCTGAGTGCCAGAGCAGCAAAACATTTGTTCTGCAGCGCTCAGAGGGGAAGTCCAAAGAAATGGCTTCTCCCAAGACAAGACACACACACCCACTCAAAGGACAGACTTCTCTCCAGAGTCTCACAGCCACCTGGGAATTTGGGAACCTTGAGGTTGAAAGCCCCCCCCATGGCACACACCTGGAGGAGCACTTCGCTGGCTGAAGCAATTTGTCTTAACTAAAGCATTTCAATTAAAAGTCAACACTGAATCACTGCAAAGTGCTGGTGACAGGAGTCATTAAACTGGAATACAAGTTTTAAATAATTATTAATATGCTCTGCAAGACATCCATAAAAGGCCCTTAATCAATATGCATTTCAATTCCGTGCATTAGGGTTTTAGGAATTTAAATTCACAGCAGTGGAAGGGTTGGGAAGTCGTCATGAATTTCCATCAGAGCTCTTGCACAACCAAACCTGGGAGATCATCATCAGGATCCAAGCTGTTGGGAGGGGGTGACCAAATGCATCAGACTATTTTGGTGGCCTGTGCCAGAATGAATTGGTGGCTCTTCTCCCTGGAAAATGGGTATTGGGGCACATCATTGACATGGGGGCAAGTTTTTGAGTCCCTGTCAGTGACAGCAACAGGGATTTTGCTTGGCCATCTCAGTCAGTGTCAAATATTCACAGGCACTACTGGCAGTTTGGGCATTACCTGACCATCCCCTGGGGAGAGAGCAGAGAGGATGAGGATGGGCTGAGTTGGACACATGAACTCTCAGGGCTGCAGGTGCTCATGGTTCGGGAGCCCAGATCTTCACATGCAGCATTCACGTGCCCTCACAGCACACAAAATAGATTTGATAACTCCCTGCATAGGTACAGGGTTAGTTTTGTGGCTGGTGCACAGCAAAGCAAGGTGATGCTCCTGCCTCCTGCTGCTGGCAGCGAGGAGACCCATCATCTCACAGCAGGAGCATGGAGAGGCACGAGCATTCCCAAGGTGAGAAGGGACGAGGGGACCCATTCCAGAAAGCGCTGTGGGAATGTGGGGGACTGGATGGTTTGAAGCTAATCGTGTGCTTCAGCATTTGGCTGGATCAGGGCCAGAGGTGCAGAAGAGAAATTTCCAGTAAGGAGAAACCTCTAGGAAGAACCAAACCCTAGAGGAAGCTCAGGGTGAGGTTTGTGCTTCCTATTTCAGTCTAAAAAAAGCCCTGTCCCAGGAGGGGGTGAGTTTCAGTAACATCCAGATAGCCCAATACTTTGTATCCAGAATAGGGGTGATGACAGTAAAGCAAGTGGAAGCTCCACGAGCAGATGGACCCTCAGAACACCCTTCCATGGACCCTCAGAACACCCTTCCCTGCAGGTGGCATCCAGGGGCAGAGCAGCATCACACTTGGAATGGTTCAAAGAAGGAGGGATACGCCAAAAGGAGCAGAGATGGTTGTTGCAGCTAACTTTACCCCCAGAGATGAAAACAGGAACTGGGAATGTATCCCATGGTTATGGGTATGCTCTATGCCATGGATCTGGGTGAGGTCCAGGTATTTGTCCCCTCATTTTTCCCTGGGGCAAACCAGGAGCTGGGGGCTGTGCACTAGGAGCAGGCTGGATGCAGCCACACTGTTTCGAAGGCTAAAAAAATGCAGTCCTGTAGAGGAAAGCCAGGTTAAGCTATTTATTAGCCTGCCTCAGGCCCTGCTTAGTTTACTGCCAGCCTAAAAATTCCCCGGTGCTGGGAAATCAGCTCGGACCGTGTGTGCACATTGCTGCAGATCAGCTTGTGTTTTGGGGGGGTGCATCTGCCTGATTTTGTGACGCTGAAGGTTGAAACGAGCTAGGGAAAAGCAGGCACTTTGGAGAGGGAGAGAAAAAAAAAAGGCAAAGAAAACCAGAAAGAAAGTAGAAACGCGCGGGAGGGAAGGAAAAGGGGAGATTTTGTCTCGGGGAGGCGTCGGAGCCTCCGAGGACCGTCCCCGCCGTCGCCCCGCATTGCGAAAGAACCTTTAGCTTGGGCTCGGGTGCCCCTCGGTTTTGCAAGGCATCCCGGCACGGAAAGCCTGTCCCAGGCCGCTCCTCCCAAAGCGCAGCGGGGATGCTGTGGAGCCGGGAGGCCCCGCGCCGGGGCCGGGATGCAGCGGGGCCGCGGGGCGAGGAGCGGGCGGCGCGGGGCCGCTGCCATCTAGTGGCACTGGGACGCGGTCCCCTGCCAGCCCCGGCAGAGAAAACCCCACCAAAACACAACCCAGACCCCTCCGACACCCCTTCCTCCCCACCATCACTCTTCACGCGGGGGCATTGGGCTCGGGTTTGGGGGTTTTTCCGAGGGGTTGCTGCCAGCGGGGGCTTGAACATCTGCCAGGAAAATGCACCGAGACGTAAATGCGGTGGAGAGTGAATGTATTGGTGAACTGAGGAGCCGTGTACTCCTGCCCGTGGATCTTTCCCGCTCCCCTTCTTGCACCTTTCCCCCTCCTTACACCTCCGCGGAGGGTTTTTAACTCCTTTCCCTCCCTTAACAGAAATCCCTCGTGGCAGGAACAGGGCTCTCCAGTCCTCTCCATGCCTTCTCATCCCCTGCAGACTCCCTCTTCCCTCCCATTTTGTGGCCTCCCTGCTCCCTCTCCTGCCACTGGCGCCCATGGGGACCCAGAGAGAAGGAGCGGGAAGGACAAACAGCCACGTTTCTTCTCTCCCTTCTCGTATCTGTTTAATGCACCCCACACCCCCCCCCCAGATCTTTCAGGGGTGCTGATACCTCTGTTTCTGCACCCAGAAGTTTGCAAGCTGAAGACAGGGGGATGCCTGAACCCCCTCTTCCTTTGTGTCTTCCTGCAAATTCCCTTATACAATCTCTTACAAATTCCCTTATAAATCTCCCCTGTTGTGCTGGGAGCTCCCCTTCACCGTGGAGGTGACATGTCCCATTTCATCCCCACAGCCTC